TGGCCCTCTTACGGAACATTTAACATGTGACCCTCTCACTTAACATGTAGCCCTTTATTATTATTATTATTGCTGTTATTATTATTATTATTATTTACAATCGATTTGTCATTATTATTATTATCATCATTTATCATTATCATCATTTATCATTATCATCATTTATCATTATCATCATTTATCATTATCATTAATATCATTATTAGAACACTTTCCCACACCTCATTTTTGGATCTGACCATGACTTCGGAACACAGGATTCATGTGAGGGGATACGGATAGGGGCGTGGTCTAACAAGGTGAGCCAGCCAAACAATGTAGGGAGCCTAACAAGATCTTTATATCACTCCTGTGTTCTGGAAGTGTTTCAGACTGTGATGTTTTGTGACTGGTGAGTGGCTGTATGATGCAGTGATTGGTGAGTGGCTGTATGATGCAATGATTGGTGATTGACTATTATGCAATGATTGATGATTGATTGGCTTATATAGTTGACTGGTTAGTGACTCGTATACATCTGACACATGAAGAACTGACTGGTGATTACCTACCCTACACATCTAACTGTGGAATGACTGTAACACACACCTAACTTGTGACTACCTACACAACTAAACTAGGAAATGACTGTCATACTCAACTGACTGGTGAATACCCACCAAATACAGCTAACTGGTGAATACCCACCACATACAACTAACTGGGGAATGACTCGTATCCAACTAACTGTGGAATGACTGTAACGCACAACTAACTGGGCAATGACTGCCATACTCAACTGACTGGTGAATGCCTACCACACACAACTGGGGAATGACTGTCATATATAACTAACTAACTGGGGAATGACTGTCATATACAAATAACTGTGGAATGACTGTAACACACAACTAACTGGGGAATGACCGTTATACACAACTAACATGTATAGATGAATAGTGGATTATATGGTAAAATCATCATACAAATTCATATTGATTTAGCATAGACAGTGCAGGTATACAAACAAGTGGCAACCTGTGGTGTAATGGACAGAATGCTCGCCTCGCAAAAGATTGGTCATGGGTTCGATTCCTGAGCAGAGTGAAACAATGGGGAATTTTCTTTGCGCCATTTGCCTCTGTCTACCCAGCAGGAATTGGGAACCTGGATGTTAATCGGTTTGTTGATCGTGTTCCGGGGTAATGGTTAGCCACAGCAGTTGGCGATTTGTCCGGTCTTCTCGGACTACGTGACACTGGGTCATGCAGCTCGTTAACTTAGGGTGTGGTTGTTGTGTTGGCCACAGCTTTTACACCTTAAACAAATTCACTCCTAGGTGGCCCTTGGGCCGGCCAATCCTCGTACACGAGGAGCAGCCATTATTACTATACAAACAATGTACAAAGACAGTACAATAAGACAAGCAGTGTACAGAAACAATACAGGTATACAAACGGTGTACATAAACAATCCAGTTGTACAAACAATGTACATTGACAGTGCGGGTATACAAAAAAATAGCAAAGATTGTTTTAAATAGAAATACGGTAGTTGTTATTTCTGCAACACCTTGAGGGAGTATCAGTGAACTTAGTGATGGTCAGGGTGGGGTCTGTGCTGTCACGCCTCACACATTCAATCAACGGATCAATAGACTGCACTGTCGAAACACACCCAGTAGCTCTTGACATCGATCCTTGCTTACAAAATCGCCCACTTGTAGTTTGTCCTTGTTCATCACTTTAATTTCCTTTTGTGCCGATCATAATGCGTGTAGTTCTGAACGTTCGCTTTTCTGACACTAGTTCCGGGTTCCTCGGGGTTTTGTACCTGCGCCATTATTAATAATTTTTCAGTAACAACAATTAAGTTAATTTTATCTGCGGCAGTCTTCAAAACAGAATTATTAATAATGCCACACAAGAGACGTCATGGGTGGTGCATATGACCTCGCCCATAGCCGAGTCATATTCTTCAATGATACTAAAACAAAATATATCTTTAGTGACGTGTATCATGATACTGCATAGTTTATCACCAATTATCACATCATCATCATCATCATCATCATCATCATCATCATCATCATCATCATCATCATTGGCTAGCTTAGTGTGTACTTTACTACCATAGTGTGTTCTACTACATCATACAGCCTCCAACACTTCTGACCATCGTGCTTCAAATGTCTTCACTCTATCGCAAGGTGACGCATCGATGACTACAGGTGACCGTGACACAAGTCCTAACTCACACACTACTGGACCCAGGCGTGTAGTCTGATCTAAAGTGATTTCCTAAACAATCGTCCTTAACCTGAGCAAACTTAACCTAATCTACCCAACTTCATCCTAAACCTAAACCAACCTAACTTTACTTAGCATTCTAACCTACCTCACCATATCCTACCTCTAAACTAATTTACGTAGCTCTTAACCTACCCTACCCTACCGTACCGTAACGTACCCTACCCTACCCTACTGTACCCTTACCCTACCTTACTGTACCCTTACCCTACCTTACTGTACCCTTACCCTACCCTACTGTACCCTTACCCTACCCTACTGTACCCTTACCCTACCCTTACATACCCTTACCCTACCCTACTGTACCCTTACCCTACCCTACTGTACCCTTACCCTACCCTACTGTACCCTTACCCTACTATACCCTTACCCTACCCTACTGTACCCTTACCCTACCCTACTGTACCCTTACCCTACCCTACTGTACCCTTACCACTAAAGTTCGTGTGTCCATTTTTGGCCCCAATCCATGGCTGTGTGGCCCAATAACTACCCTAGTACCTAGTGCCTACAGGAGGCCAGACGGTGCCCTAGTTTTAAGTGTCTTATCAGGGGTATCGTACCCAATTAACAGAGGAGGTAGTGACGGTCTTATACCTTCACACTGTTGCTTGGTAGAGAGGATGACCTTTTGTGACGTACAGTAGGTGTTTGGGAGAGATATCTCAATTTAGAGTTTTGTTGAGTGTTACGTAACCTGCTGGGGAGGAGTGTTATTATGTTGTTGTTGTTGTTGTTGTTGTTGTTATTATTATTATTATTATTATTATTATTATTATTATTATTATTATTATTATATAAACACACATACACACGAGAGAGAGAGAGAGAGAGAGAGAGAGAGAGAGAGAGAGAGAGAGTCTAGGCAGGTAAGGTGTAGAGCGGTACTGTCACACCGCGACAGTACACCGCCACGCTGAGTAATATTTTAGTAGTGCCAGTCTGTGACACAGCTGCTGGACCGGCCTACACCAGCCCGGGAGAGTAGAGGGGGGAGGGAGAGAAGGAGGAGGGAGTGCTGAATAGAGAGAGGCAGTGGTCGTGGTGGAGGGAACATTAGCGAGGGTCATGCTTAAAGGAGAGAAAAGTGGTGGTGGTGGTGGTGGGGGAGGGTGGTGGTGAAGGTGGTGGTGGGGGACAGTGGTGAGGGAAGATGGTGATGGTGGTGGTGGGTGAAGGTGGTGGTGGGGGGACGGAAGGTGGTGGTGGTGAAGGGAGGGAAGGTGGTGGTGGTGGGGGAGGGGAAGATGGTGATGGGGAGTTTGGTGGTGAAGGTGGTGGTGGTGGGGGAGGGTGGTGGTGGTGGGGAGGGAAGATGGTGATGGTGGGGAGGGTGGTGGTGGTGGTGGTGGTGGGGGGGTGGTGGGGGGTGGTGGTGGGTGGTGGTGGTGGTGGGGGAGGGTGGTGGTGGTGGTGGTGGTGGGGAGGGTGGTGGTGGTGGTGGGGGGAGGGGGGAGGGTGGTGGGGTGGTGGTGGTGTGGGGGAGGAAGATGGTGATGGAGGGAAGGTGGTGGTGGAGGATGGTGGTGGGAAGGTGGTGGTGGTGAAGGGAGGAGGATGGTGATGGTGATGGGAGGGAAGATGGTGGTGGTGGGGGGGAGGTGGTGGTGGTGGGGAGGGTGGTGGTGAAGGTGGTGGGGAGGGAAGGTGGTGGGGAGGTGGTGGTGGTGGGGAGGGTGGTGGTGGTGTGGGGAGGGAAGATGGTGATGGGAGGGAAGGTGGTGGTGGAGGATGGTGGTGGTGAAGGTGGTGGTGGTGAAGGGGAGGGAGGATGGTGATGGTGATGGGAGGGAAGATGGTGATGGGAGGGAAGGTGGTGGTGGTGGGGAGGGTGGTGATGGTGAGGAGGGCGGTGGTGAAGGTGGTGATGAAGGAAGGAAAGGCAGTGATGAAGGAAGGAAAGACAGGGATGAAGGAAGGGAAGGCAGTGATGAAGGAAGGAAAGGCAGTGATGAAGGAAGGAAAGACAGGGATGAAGGAAGGGAAGGCAGTGATGAAGGAAGGAAAGGCAGTGATGAAGGGCCATCGTGGTGGGGGAGTCCTCACCTCACCTAAGTCACACTCAGAATCACATCACTTGTTCAGACACACCAGTTTAGGTTACCTTTGAGCAGAGAGAGAGAGAGAGAGAGCAGTGTAATAATAATAATAATAATAATAATAATAATAATAATAATAATAATAACAACCGGTTTATTAATAGAGTTGCAGCCGGTGGCTGAAAATATACAAACTTACATGTGATTTAGACATAATAATATACGTTCAATACATTTACAGGGCTGTACAGTACATAAATCAGGAGTTGTTTATTATTTTAACAATAGATGGGATGGTGCTATTCTTATATCTATCGGTGTGGGCTCTTATGGGCTGAATTTTGTTGTAGTGGCGGACTGCGCAAGGTGGGCGGGGGACTGCCGGTGGCAGTAGGTGGCGATGACGAGGATGGTGCAGTAGTCCACTGCCAAACCCTGCTAGTGCATGGTGGTTGAGGTCACTGAGGGATGGCATTTCCAGGGTGGAGAGAGCATTGTTGTAGCCGGAGTAGTCTGCGCCGAGCATGATTCTGTAGGCCCTTTTCTGTACCTTCTCTAGCTGACGTTGTTGGGTAGAGTTGAGAGAAGACGACCAGGCTGGTGACGCATATGTTAATTTGGGGAGAATAAAGGCGTTGTAGATGGTCCTCAGCTCTGGCGTGGGTTCTCCAAGTGACCTGAGTCGTCGTAGCATATAGAGTCGGTACGAGGCGTGTGTCTGTCTCTCCTGGCGTCCGTCTGTACAGGAACCTACGAATATTAACCTCAAACAAACATTTATGGAACTCTCTGAGATTTTATGGATGTAGACCAACAGACCTGGTGGTAATATTTTCTCTGTATTAAGGAGTTACTGGAGGTTTATCGTCAAGGGAGGGAGGGAGGAAGGGGGACGCATGGATCCTCGAGGCCAACTTAGTGACTAGTGTGTGTGTTTAACCGAGGCGTGTTCTCCAGCATTACAGGATACCGCAACTTACAACGTTATAGCTGCTACAGACCAACACAGGAAACCTTTACTGTAAAAGCCGAGAAAAAAGTGATAAAATAATTTGCTAAAACACAACAAAACCACCAAGTGGCGACACATAACACCGGCCATTTTGTGACGTCACGTGTGTACTATGGCTGTTTAGAAGAGACAAATATATTATTTATAGAAGACAATATAGAAGAGCCAGTCATATACTGTACAGGAGACTGTATATAGTGACGGCTATATCGTAAAGTTTTATTTGTTGTCAACTGACGTTATTTATCTCTAGTGAAGTGTGTACATTTGGGAAAGTGACGTTACGACTACCTGTGGCTTTCAGAAGGAAGTTATTTCTGCAACAGTGACCTTTATGTATCTACAACTGACGAAGGTTTACCTCTACATCTGACACCACGGCCGTTTATAGAAGTGGCGTCATAATCATCAGCCTGTCGTCTCATCTCGTGACGTCAGACCTGGTAACAGCTCAGCCCGGTGGTCTTCCCTGGTCTTTGTCCGTAAAGACCAGGAGAAGGTGAGCCAGCGACCAGCCCGAGTGCCTTACCTCTACTTGTAGAGCGTCCCGTGCCAAACGTAGACAGTTACTATTTTCTTTTGAATAAATACTGACTATATGTGTCAATCATATGGTAAGGCCTTTGATAACAGTTTCATTTGTGAGATTGTCTCTAATGAGTTTGAAATTTTGTGACCAAATTTGAGTTTTAGTAAGAAAGCGGAAATTGAACCACAAGTTGAGTATAAAAGTTCTACGGCGCCAACTGTGAAGATATTATATAGGAAACAGACAGACAGACAGACAACCAACACAAGAGGTGAAGCCTGTCTCCCCTCCTCGTTGGTAGTCAGTCACCTTGGGTACCATGTGGTCGACGGGTGGAGGAGCCTGGTAGCTGGAGGTGTGACGTGCACCGGATCTAAAGGTAGTGAATGAAGCTTAAGGCAAAGTTGAAATTTTTGCTTATATCTGGTGGTCTTCTGAACCGCGGCCACCAACACTACTACCCCAACACTACCACCACCATCACCACCACCACAGTGACGAACTCCACCACCTCGACCACCAAGATGTCCCGAGACTACCCATCAACCTGCAAGTCCATGATGGACCTGACTGGGCGCAGCGGCGACAGTGAGCAGCATCAGCGGCTACACAAAGCTCGTTCGGTGTGGGACGTTGGGGGGAAGCCTGCAGTACGGCGGAGACGAACCACTGAAACTTTCCGCCCGCCTGATCCTGTAGTGGAGCCCCGGGCGCGGCCTGTGTCCCTTCCAGTCACCTCCCCCGTGAGACCCAAGAGGGTCTCTGCCATCCAATGGGCTGAAGGTGTGGGCAGGGAGGAAACCGACAAAGAGACGAGAGGAAGCTTCCTCACTCCCTCCTCGGCAGGTCGACCTCACCGCTATTCCAGCAGCTCGGTCACCTCCACGCCCTCCACGCCCGCCATACTCTCCTCCTCCAGTGCCGGTGACGGGGTTGAGTCAGTAATGTTCAGAGGAGAAGGGAACCTGTTGGAGGCTCAGTCCATGATGTCACTGTCTCGACCATACAGGGTGAGCAACGGCTCAGACGACGAACCCAGAGGATTCCGTAAAAAGTCCGCCAGCGCCCTGTAAGTGTGGGACCTAAACACTAGTTTTTCTAAATACAATTTTTTCCAGGCGCTGGGAAGTTGAGCTGTTATTTTGCCGGTATGTATATATTTGATATAAGGTTATAACTGCCCCATAGCTTTGGCTACAGCACACACACACACACAGGTAAGTGTTCCAGGTGAGACTACAGAGTCATCTTCCTAAACTGTTTACCAAACCTGATTGAACACAGACCAATATATTTAGTGTGAAGACTTCGTTGCTTCACCCACGAGTCTTTATGTATGATATATAAAACAAATATCCTCTAAAATGAAGCGTCGAGGAGGAGTCAAGTATACTGTAACGTCCTGGTAACAGAGCACAGTATTTTACTGCCTTGTGACAGGTAAGGTGTTTTTCAATGAGGTTACTTAACCATTAAGGATGATGGGTTTTAACCCTTTCACAGCGGGAGGTTACCCTAAGCTGAATAAAATCGTCTGGCGGTAGCCAGAATAAAATGGCAAGTGCGTGACACGCGGTGAAAGGGTGAAGCTAACTCTAAGGATAATAGGTTAAGATAACTTTTTATGGTTTAAGATAACTTTAATAAGGATAAAGTATAATTCTCAAGGGGTTAAACCATTGTCTTCAAAGAGTAAAAGTTGTGTTTTAACTTGGCATGTATTTTTTGGTATCCAATCGTCCATACCAGGTAACAGTATAATGTGAAGTAATTGTTTACTAGAAACGTTTAAGATTTATTGAGAATGACATCTATCATAGGTGAAAATAGATTCTTAAGACAATATGATTTTACTGTATGGCAGCTCGTATCTCTCCAGTACTTTGTTGTGTTTTATTATTATTGTTGTTGTTATTATTATTATTCTTTTCTTACTGGTCATTCGCCTACATCTTGTGTCCTTCAATTTCTGATATCAACACAACGACCTGCCGAATCTCTCTCTCTCTCTCTCTCTCTCTCTCTCTCTCTCTCTCTCTCTCTCTCTCTCTTTAACACTCCTCTCCCTCCCTCTCTCCAGACATGCCCTGAAGAACCTGAGTCGCAGCACGCCGGCGATGTCCCCGTCAGCGTCGCCGCGACACAGTGACAGCGAGGGACCGCCGCGAGTATCCAAGGGTACCAAGAAGTTTATGAGACACTTCGCCGACGCCCCCGCCAGCGAGTGGGTCCTTAACTGTGAGTGTTGTGTTGTTCTGTGGCTGGTCGGACGTCATCAGTCATAATGGGTCTTTATGTAATTGAAATATGAAACTTTGCCTCTGTCTACCCAGCAGTAATTGGGAACCTGGATGTTAATCCATTTGCAGATCGTGTTCCAGGGTAATGGTTAGCCAGTGCAGTTGGCGAGTTGTACGGACTATTCCGTCATTGGGTCATGCAGCTCGTTAACCTAGGGTGTGGTTGTTTTGACGACAGCTTCTACACATTAAACAAATTGACGCCTAGGTGGCCCTAGGGCCGGCCATCCTCGTACGCGAGGGGCAACCATTATTATGAAACTTAACCTAGCCCATCCTAACCTATCCTACCCTAACTTATCCTACCCTAACCTATTCTACCTGTAACCTAACCTAACCTGTCCTAACCCATCCTATCCTAGCCTATCCTACCCTAACCTATTCTACCTGTAGCCTAATCTAACCCAACCCAGCCCAACCCACTCTTCACCCCACGGCCTCACCCTTCATTTCCCCCAATCCAAACCCTCACATCTCCCCTCTTTCTCTCCCCACGCCATCCATCTCCCCCCACGCCCTCAACCATCTCTCCCACGCCCACAACAGAGCAGCTACCCCCACTCCCATGTCTGTACGGCGCGGCTCGATAACGCTCATTCATGCCTGTATCCCCACCTACTAGCGTGACGTCACTCCCTGCCACCAGTAGTGACGATAGAGAGTTTTTCTACAGTGAAAGTGTGTGTGTGTGTGTGTGTGTGTGTGTAAATATTGAACCATTGACAGGCTATTAAACCATCGGTCCAAATATTTCTCGGAATGCTTCTGTGTCCGCCCGCACGCAAGCCTTTTCCTGTGTCCGTCAGCACGTGAGCCCTGTCCTGTGTCCGTCAGCACGTCTGGAGTGGACTGTGTGGTTTAGCTGTGGTGCTGTGGTAAAGCAGTAACTGCGTGCTTCCGTGTAGACCAGGGGTCACCAAACTTTTTTCACAGTGGGCCGGATAAATGAAAGAATGACGAGCGCGGGCCGCATAATCATTCTGTTCAATACTTGCAAGCCAGAACGAAAGCTCTGGTAACGTCAGAGTGTAGGCGGAGCTACCACGAGCCGGGGAAGGACTTGGGATCCGGCCCGCGGGCCGTAGTTTGGTGACCCCTGGTGTAGACTGTACATCACTGCTGTGTTAGATTGTGTGTATGTTAGCTTCTACTGTTCACTTGTGTTGATGTTGTGTCACTTGGTCGTTTGCTGCCGTGCTGTAGTGTTTTCTGCTGCTACTGTTTTTCCTGCTGTGTTGCTCTTCTGATGCTGTGTTGCTCTCCTGCTGTATTGCTCCCCTCGTGCTGTGTTGCTCTCCTGCTGTATTGCTCCCCTCGTGCTGTGTTGCTCTTGTATTGCATGTGTTGGTCTCGTGTTTATGCTGTGTTGGTCTCGTGTTCATAGTGCCTTTGTCTCGTGTTCATGCTGTGCTACTCTCGTATAGCTGCTGTGTTGTCAGGTGATGCTGCTGTGTTTGTTGTGCCACGTACGGTACAGTACATTCCACCAGTGTTATTCACAGCTGCAGTGATCGATACTCATTCATTAAAGGCTTGACTACAGGCAGTGACGAGAAAAATATGGTTGTGAATCATAAGACTACATAATGTTGCAGAAAGACTGACTACTTAATGCTACATAAAGACTACATAAAGTTACATAAAGGCTACATATTTTTACATAAAGACTACATAATGTTACATAAAGACTACATAATGTTACATAAAGACTACATAATGTTACATAAAGACTACATAATGTTACATAAAGACGACATAATGTTACATGAAGACCACATAATGTGACATAAAGACTACATAATGTTACATAAAGACTACATATTGCTACTTAAAGAGTTACATTGTCAGAGTAGTTAAGTGTTGCTGTGATGATTGACGTATTTGATCTATTCTGCCTGGTGGAGGTCACGGGGCCTAGCGTGTATAGGGAGAGAGGGGCTTGTTGAGGCCGAGTTCTCGTGTGTGTGTGTGTGTGTGTGTGTGTGTGTGTGTGTGTGCGTGCGCGTGCGTGCGTGCGTGCGTGCGTGCGTGCGTGCGTGTGCGCGTGCGTATTATACGCATTTTGACGCAGACTTTTGTTAGGCGTCACTTGATTACAATTATACAGGTAACGGATCCTGTTTGGTTGACTGGAAATTATTGTATTTTTATTATAACTTGTGCATTTCTGAAAATTTGAAGCAATATTAAGGGTAAGGTAATTAGTTACTATATAATGAATTTAGGAGAGTGAGATAGGCAGTTTTGTTATGATCTAATTTTTCACTTCTGCGTGTTTACAATGGGAAACCTGTTTCGTATATTAATTAAATCACACATCACTATTAAATATGTATCGTACAGTAAGTGTCAAAACAGACTCGTAAATCAAGACCATTCTAAATATTAAGTCAACTTTCAATATTCATATACTCGACCATTAAGATAATTTAACTGTCTTCTTTGTTAAATTGGAATGTTAATACACATTCGTAAACTAAGATAAAAAAAAAAACAGTACTGTTTGTGTCGTGCCTGGGGCGGGAATCAGACTCCGCAAGTGGCAACATAGAGAGCGTTCACTGCCCGGCGCCAGCCTTCTTGTTGGTGGTACAGTATCGTCAGGGTAACCGACCACAACAATGGCGTATAGCGGGGTGGTAGGTGGGGTGAGGGTGGGTGGTAGGTGAGATGGGAGAGGGTGGGCAGTGCCGGATTAACCATGAGGCACTTGAGGCACTGGCCTCAGGCCCCCCGACTCTAAGGGGCCCCCCAAATCCAAACATTCTCGAAGTTGAGGCGTATAAAACATGAACTTCGTTCAACGATGTCCTAGCAACGTCTCGATTTTCTGTCTCTTATAAACATTAAATGTGTTATTTTGCAGAAGCTTAATATTGATGAAATCATTGATAAATTTGGGTATATTTTGTTTTTGTTATTTATATATACCTTGAGGGTAGGGGGCCCCAAGTTGATCTGTGCCTCAGGCCCCTATTAAGCTTAATCCGGCCCTGAGGGTGGGTGGGTGGTAGGTGGGATGAAGGAGGGTGGGTATGTTGTGGGTAAGGCTCTGCATGTTCAGCCAAGTTGCACGCGATCCAATGGCGGATCACTTGGTCCACAACGGACGTATTTTCAGCTGGAGTTATATTTTGTACAAAGAAGTGTTCAAATTTGGCTCTACTTCTTGGCCGACTGACTGAGTGTTTGGTGCGTGACTGACGTGTCTTCGTGGTTGCATTGCGAAAATTCTCCCTCTCGTGTCTACCCTTATTCTCCCTCTCTCGTGTCTACCCTTATTCTCCCTCTCTCGTGTCTACCCTTATTCTCTCCCTCTCGTGTCTACCCTTATTCTCTCCCTCTCTCGTGTCTACCCTTATTCTCTCCCTCTCGTGTCTACCCATATTCTCCCTCTCTCGTGTCTACCCTTATTCTCTCCCTCTCTCGTGTCTACCCTTATTCTCCCTCTCTCGTGTCTACCCTTATTCTCCCTCTCTCGTGTCTACCCTTATTCTCTCCCTCTCATGTCTACCCTTATTCTCTCCCTCTCGTGTCTACCCTTATTCTCTCTCTCTCTCGTGTCTACCCTTATTCTCTCTCTCTCGTGTCTACCCTTATTCTCCCTCTCTCGTGTCTACCCTTATTCTCCCTCTCTCGTGTCTACCCTTATTCTCTCCCTCTCGTGTCTACCCTTATTCTCCCTCTCTCGTGTCTACCCTTATTCTCCCTCTCTCGTGTCTACCCTTATTCTCCCTCTCTCGTGTCTACCTTTCGTGTGAGAGAATGCCTTCAACAGAGAGGTCCGTGTCGATTAAAGTTCTCTCTCTCTCTCTCAAATGCACAAGTCGATTTCAGATACAGAAGTAAACATTTAATCTTTCATGAGACTTTTAAGCGTTGTGGGAATATCCTGATGACAGAATAGCGTAGTCCTGTGAATTATTGAACAGTTATCTGTGTGTGTGTGTGTAAATACATCGCGTGCCCTTGTGTTCACGTATGTCTGTATTATCATTTATGTTATTTTTCCTCTGAAGATTAAAAATACGTTAGGTATATATTTATTGAAGGTCACTGGGGCTTACTTGCTATGGCGATCTGTGGTGTAATGGTCAGCATGCTCGCCTCGCAAGCGAACGTATCCGGGTTCGATCCCCTGGCAGGGTGAAACTATGGGGAAGTTTCTTTATGCTATTTGCCTGTCTGCCCAGCAGTAATTGGGCACCTGGATATTAATCGATTTGCAGATCGTATTCCGGGGTAATGGTTAGCCAGTGCAGTTGGCGAGTTGTCCGGTCTTCTTGGACTATTCCTTGACACCGGGTCATGTAACTTAGCTCTTTATCTTAGGGTATGGTTGCTGTGTTGCCGACAGCTTATACACCTTAAACAAACTCACGCCTAGGTGGCCCTAGGGCCGGCCATCTTCGATTTCGAGGGGCTTCCATTAATATGTGTGTGTGTGTGTAATGATGACTCGTGTGAGTGTCGATATATATAGAGGGTTGTGAAAGATGTCAGTGATAGGGAGGGTGTTGACCGGCTTACGGGAGACTTAAAGGCTGATGAAGGATAACCAATTGACTGGTACATGACATTTGCTTTTTACTACTTGTTGAGAGAGAGAAAGAGGTGTAGGGAGAGAAGGGGGTGTAGGGAGAGAGAATGGGGTGTAGGGAGAGAGAACGAGGTGTAGGGAGAGACAAAGGGGTGTAGGGAGAGAGAATGAGGTGTAGGGAGAGAGAATGGGGTGTAGGGAGAGACAAAGGGGTGTAGGGAGAGAGAATGGGGTGTAGGGAGAGAGAATGAGGTGTAGGGAGAGAGAATGGGGTGTAGGGAGAGAGAAAGGTGTGAAGGTGTAGGAGAGAGAAGGAGAGAGAACGAGGTGTAGGGAGAGAGAACGAGGTGTAGAGAGAGAGAACGAGGTGTAGAAAGAGAGAATGAAAGAGAGAATGA